CCCCAAAACCCCAAAACCCCAAAACCCCAAAACCCCTGAGATTTTATACGATATTGAATTGGTTTTAGCTCTTTACTTCGACCTCAATGTCATAGTCATACCATCTTTTGAGGTAATCCCAGATATTAATATTGACAAGGACGTAATCGTATGACTCGCAGCAGTCACTCTTGATCTGGAATTCCCCTTTCTCATCAAGTTCTGCTATTTTCTTATTTCAAATATTTTCAGGCTTCTCATAGAGATCCTCCGTGTTCATTTGAACTATATAGTCTGAAGCAGTACTTTTGGCTTTCAGTAATTTCTTTCAGCTATTCTTGGTATCATTTAGGTTAGTTTTTCTATAAATCAGAAGAAGCCTTTACATAATTGGGGTAGGAATTCCTAATTCTTCAGTAATGGAAACCCCATTTTCAGGTTCTATAGGATGAAATTATGGTACATACCAATAGAATCCTCGTCGCCACCATGCTTGGGGGCTAAGAGGTTAGTGAAATTGCTTGACTCAGAGTCTCCTTTGATTCTATTGAGCATTTCTTGCTGTTCGGAGTGCTCAAGGTTCACATAATCTCACCATTGATGCCACCAATTAGCCTCAATTGCAAACTTATTTATTCTCGATATCTCTTTTTACAGAGAAAGTGGTTGTATTTTTCATCTGATATGGAACACCTATCTGGGTTTTCTAGGTAAAATAATTAAGAAATTTCTTTGAACAAAGGTAAAGGATTTTATGAAGAACTATTTATAATCATAAGCCCACCAGGTCCCATTAAAATATGTAAATAAGTACGTACTTTAGCAAGATTCACAGATTTATTTACGTTTATTTTGGTAACCTGAGTTGGACAAGATAATGTTCCTCTGACTTCTTGGAGAGAGCTGTGGACACAAATTCCCACATGGGATATCCTTACAATCTCCATGAGGAGTTATAGAAGGGCTTGAGAGATTTAGATTACTAAATCTATGATTATCTGCTCTTTGAGTTGAGAACAATGATTGTTTATTTTCTGAGAGTGAAATCAAATCACTATGCTCAAAATCTCTTTCATCGATCTCATCTCCTCTACAAGATGACAAAGAAGCAAGGTTAATGCTGATCCTATTGCTTGCCTTCTGTTCAGACTGAGGGGCCTTCTTCATCAGAGAAGCCTTGAACTGTTTAGTTAAACAATTCTGACTAGGCTTGTTGCATTTTACTGAGTCTATGATCATAAGTTAAGTGGTTTGTTTACTAAATGCCTGCGAATAATCACATTTCTAACTGTGAAGTTCTCAAGACCATACCTTTAACTTTGACCATTTGGTTTTGGCTAGTCGAATTATCTTGAGAACTTTGGCTCGGAATCATTTTAGAACGGTTGCTCATGATAGACTTCCGAACTTTGTCATGCTTGAACGACTTCTCTGGAGTGATGTATTCAGTTCTTGCCATAGAGCAGCGATCTCATTTAAAATTTCTGTTTACTCTTGTCAATGAGGAGTAGAGTTCTTTGTATAAATCTTTGGCCATTATCTTAAGTTTCTCGTCAACTAAAGCAGCTTAACCACAGTCAAAATTGTTATTTTTACTCATATTCTCAATTTTCTTATAGTTGACCTTAGAGGGTTTCCCTTTGGAGCTTGGTGTCATCTTGAAGCTATAACTAATAAACCACGCTGAGATACCTCTCGATCCTGCTCGGGATGCTCAATGAGTCAACATCAAGCTTGAATTTATTGGCAAAGTAATACTTTACTGGACTTTTAGCTTTTATTTTATTCAGGTGCCTACAAATGGTCAAAGAACAAAAGAGAGGGTGCCTTTACCGGCTTAGAGAGGTATTCTTGTTCATATTTAATAATTTTTAAACTTATCAGGGGTTTTGGGGTTTTGGGGTTTTGGGGGTTTTGGGGTTTTGGGGTTTTGGGG